AAGGTGCACCAATGGGAGGTAATGCTAGTCCAGATATTGCCGATCTCACATTGTCGGTCATGGAGTATCGGTTCCTTCGTAAAAATCCTAGTACTCATCTTCATCTCTTTCAGTAAATCGATGACACCCTCATTGTTAACTGCGCCAATTTTGCCAGCTTGTTAACCACCCAGCTTGCAGCTCAACACCTCCGCACAAAGGGCTTGCTTTTCAGACCTCGAAATTTCATGTCAGGAAGGCAGGTGCATTATTAATGTATACAGTAAAACCCTAGACTACCCATTCGATGTAAATGACGGAACGTATCCAGATAGTGATATGGAACAAATGGTGCAAGAATGAGTCATATCGCATCTACTTCGTTATGCACTTAGGTGCACTCTTCCATAGGGATTCTATGACTGGGCTAGACGGCCTATAAGTATCTATAGACAAAAAAAGTTTGATATCGCCAAACTAGAACGCTGCGTTTTTAGATTTTGCTTCAGGAAACGAGCAGTACTGAGCAAATTCATCTTCCCTGATGATTCAGAAATTAACGCTTAGTGAGCAGCTTATTCTCATAAAAAGGCTCTTAATAATTACACATAATGATTGTCCGTATCACTTTTTAACTTCCCTCCTTTCGTTCCCCTCACACTCTTCTGCTCCTTCACTTATATCTTTTTCTTTCGCTTCTCCATCTTGCAAATTAGTTACACGACTATTCAAAAATTGGCGGGTAGGAGGTTGTACTGATGATTCCCGCTCCTACCGGCATACATAGCTGGGTCTGTGTATACAGCTAGGGGGAGAAATACAGACTGCATCATGAAATGTCTTCATACATATGAGACTCACGTGAAATCCTTCCACTCTATTTCTGTTTCAGTATTCTTGCTTTTCCGGTTCCCGAGTTAGCAATCTTCCGCCAAAAATTTTCGTAGGACCGTACGTGAGGACCACTCACATCTGGGGGCTGAATCTGAAATCTTTAAGGTATAACTGAGCTAAGAACATCCCGTCGAAATTTCAACTCTCCAACCTTCTTGGTTCCCGAGTTAGCAAATTACCTCGGCAAAAATTTTCACGGGGTCATACGCGAGAACCACGCACGCCGGAGGGGGGGGGGGGTTGAATTTGAAATCTTTAAGTTCTATGTAAGCGAGGAACATAACCGTAAAATTTCAGCTTTCTAGCTTTTCTGGTTTTCGAGTTAGCGGTTTCCCTGTCAAAAATTTTATTACGCGCTTGTACCCAGGGCCTCGACGTGTGCGAGGGTTGGTACCGCAGTCCTGAAGTAGCACTTGGCCGGGGAACCCACTGACGAAATCTTGGTGCCGGAGATTGCTTGGTTGCTGAGTTGAAATACCCGGATAGCCAGACAGACACACACACCGGGGTCATCATAGTACGCTTTTTTGCATTTGCTTATATGCAAAAACGGATAAAAACCAGTAGTAAGATGCGATAAAGTGAATTCCTGGGTTTCTCTGCTGCGTTCGCACATGCCACCACTGTCGTTGAGGACATGGATGCGCATAGCAGCTGCTTGCTACGTGAACTGCCTGCAAGCAGTCCTGCTGGAGTAGGGTAACATGCTTCCTAACCGGCTGATTAATACTTGAACAGCAAGGCTTTCTTCCAGTTGTCGATGTTTATGCGAATACCAAGGCTGCTCGGACAATCACTGTAGTAATTCCTTGTTAGCATTCTCAGGATCAAGACCGGTTAGCTGCTGGGCAGTTTGACGGTGGTTCGTACTAGTCAAGCTTAGCCAAGCAAAATATGCACA